CAATGGGGGAACTCTGGGCGATTCACAACAAACATTAAAACATAAAATATATAAACACATACATTTGGTATGCCACCAGTAGCAAAACAGTTGACATGCGCGATGCAAGTTTTTACACGAGTGGATGCAAAACAACTCACTGGATTACTTCAGAAGACCCGTCTGCCAGTGAGAAAAGATGGACGGATTCTTCTACAAACGGGGTTTCCATCGCTGTGCTTTTTGCAAGTCGGTGTACTAAAAATGCATTTGAGGCCAGAGGCACTGTAAACTCAGAGGACATCCTACCTGAGCAATGAAGAGATAAATGCCGCCAAGTAAGATGACTACTTGCCCAACGAGTATGAATGGGTTCTTGACGGCCTGTGTCACTGGAAGAGGAAGCTGCCAAGATACAAAGAGAACAGGCTAAGAACAGAGACCTTGGCATCCGGGAGATGGCAGTTCCTGTAGATCAGTGCTCCTCAGCCTTGGCAGCTTGAAGACGGGTGGACTTCCAGAACTCCCCAACCACCATGGAATTCTGGGAGTTGAAGTCCACCCATCTTCAAGCTGCCAAGGCTGAGGAGCACTGCCTTAGATGAACAATGTTTATAGGGTTGATACCAGTGACCTCCATTCCGATGAACCCTTCTAGATGTCCCAGCAGAGGCTCAGAGCTTGAGATGCGTTCATTCATTCTGCCTCAGATTTTTTTTTTCCCCAGAAGGAAAAAACATTCTTTAAGGAGGAAAAGATAGAAGAGCTGCAGGTTTGGCTGGTCATGCTGGGCATTCCTTCTAGAGAAGAGTTAAGACTCTTTCCATTTTGAAATTAAAGTTTAGACTGATTTCAAAGGGTTTCCATGATGACCGATGGGTTACCACACTGAGGGTCGAGCTGAAGGAGGGGTCCTAAACCAGTGTTTCTCAACCTTGGCGACTTTCAGATGAGTGGGCTTCAACTTCAGCAGGGCTGGCTGGGGACTTCTGGGAGTTTATTTATTTATTTATCTATCAAATTTGTCACTGCCCATCTTGTTGAAAAACGACTCTGGCGGTTTCCAAAGCGGTTAAAATCAATTAAAATTACAGTGTAAAATAATCCTAAATAAACAGAAAATAAATATAATCCGAGGATAGATGTTAAAATTGGCGGTCACTCGGGGAGCGTCATCAAGGCGCCAGCCACCCCCAGGATTGGGTGAGATTCTCATCACCCAACACAAGCTGGCAGAGCCAGGGCTTTAATCCTTTCCGGAAAGCCGGGAGGGTAGAGTTGAAGTCCACCCATCTGAAAGTCGCCAAGGCTGAGAGACCCTGCCCTAGACCATCCGGTCTCTGTGAAGGAAAAATGTCTTCTTTTATTCGACTGCTTTCTCTCTATTTGGATTGCAGCTTTATTGGCACCTCTGCTGGGCTGATGTGGGGAGAAGGCTCGGAGGGGAGGGGAGGGGAGGGGGGCAGCAGAGGGGCCTGCGATTGTTTCTCCCCAGCCTGCTCTTCCACAACCTCCCTTGATCACCTTTTCTGTAGGGTAAACATACTCAGATCCTTTAAGAACTTGGTTCCCAGATCTTTCACCATCTTGGTAGCCCTTCCCTGAACTTGCTCCAATCTGGCACTGCCCTTTTGGAACAGGGATGCCCAGACCTGGACCCAGGACCCCAGATGGGGACTGAACAGGACAAAGTTGAAGGGAACAGTTACTTCCTGTGACTCTGTGCTCCTGTTCATGCATCCTGAGATAGCATCGGCCCTTTTAGCAGCTGCATCACGCTGCTGGCTCATAGTTAATTGGTGGTCGACGAAGACACCCAGATCCCTTTCACCTGTACTACTGCTAAGTCAGGTCTCCCAAATCCTATATTTGTTCTTTCCATTTCTCCTGCCCAGATACCGAACTTGACATTTCTCCCTCCTCAATTCCATCCTATTTCATTTCAGCCCACTGCTAAAGTAAGTGTCTAGATCAGCATCCTCCCCAGCTTTGTGTCACGTACAAACAGATAAAGTACC